GACCGATCCTGTTTAGCATGTACACCCGTGATGTCCCTGCCATAGCCCATCCTGCTCCATCTCTGCAATTTGCCGATGACATTGCCGTGCACTGCCACAGAAAATCAGTGCTAGCCACATCAGCCTGCCTGGCAGGGGCCGTCACCAACGTTGCTGACTGGCTCAAGCATCGACATCTGCTTCTAAATGACAAGAAGAGCCAGGTCCTGTCAATTGTACCACAACGCAATGCGGGTCAGCATGTCGCTGTCCGCTGCAACCAGACAGAGCTTCCCTTGAGCCAAACAGCAAGGTACCTCGGCGTGACCCTTGACGCCGCTGTGAAGTGGGACCCCCATGTTGACGCGATGGCGAAGAAAGTTGTGCAGAAGATTGGAGCATTGTGGCGGTCCCGCAGATGTCTGAGCCTTAGTAGTCGCATCCAGTATGTGAGGTCAGTCATCATGCCTGACCTTCTATATGGGTCTAACGGCTTCTCTTCCTCCCTCAAGGTTTCGCAGCTTGATCGCCTTCAGGTCCTGCAGAACAGAGCGGCGAGAGCGGTATACGGTTTGCCGCCTCACACCTCGGCTCAGCCTCTGCTCGAATGGATGTCCCTGTACAGAGTTCGCGAGTGCTACGCCCAGAAGCGGCTCGTCTTGGTGTGGCGCTGTGTCAATGGGAAAGCCAGCAGTGTCCTCCAGGACCTATTCTCACCATCAGCTGGCAGCACCACCCGGCACCAGGTTTCCAGGGGCCTCACTGTCCCCTCGGCACAGTCAGAAGCCGGCAGATCTCGCCTGGCCTTTCAGGCAGCGTTGGCCTGGAACGCTCTCCCAAGGAGTGTAAGGGAGACCAAGGCTGCCCAGGAATTTAAGCTTGCCTCCATCCCCTACACCTTGCAATGAATGCTCTGCCTGACTTTTCCCGTCCACACACCACTTCATTTACTCTTCTCTGCGTGCTTGTGCGCTTATGAACTCTTTGTGTTCCCTCTGTTGACGCTCCAAAATCGCTCTATTGACACTGCAAAATCGCTCTGTTGACGCTGCAAAATTGCTTATCATCTCCCTTCCTCCCCCTCTCTCTATCTCTCTCTCTCTCTCTCTCTCTCTCTCTCTCCTGGTAGCTCTCTCCCTTTTGAAATTCGCTTCCATAGAATTGGGCACCATTGCCCGTTTGGCCTTGCGAAGCAAAATAAAAATCAACAACAACAACAACAACAACAACAACAACAAGAGATATGCGGATTGTTAAAATGGATTTCGACATGTACCACACAAAGAGGTTCGTTATGTTTATAAAGAGACTTTCTCCCAATACTTATTGCCAAACTAACCCCGTAGTGGTGCACAGGGCCATATTCGTCTTTTTCACCCTTTTCGCCTTTTCACGGCTTCTGAAAACTCTCTATTGGTCAGAAAGAGCAAAGCGATTACTTCCAAGTAGTTACCAAGTTTGTACTCAGTGACAGCGTCAAACGTCCTAAGGTACGTCTTTAGACGCAAAGGAAGATACCATGCAACTTTTGTAGCCATGAGGAATTGAAGATCGATTGGAGGGGACGCTAAGGAAACAAGTTCAAGTATGGATGTTGCAGAACGTAACTCCTTGAATTGTGCTTCAACCGTATTGCCCAGTGCTCTTACCTGTATGGTCTTCAACATACATGTACATCCGCCAACGTCCCATTGACTGCTGAGCCCGAATATATTCGGGATTCAGAATGACATCAGGGCGCTGAGCACGAATATACTCGGGCTGACAGGCTATCCTACTGCACTTAGTTCCGTGTCTCAGCGTATGGCTGAAAGACACCCTAGAGTCCAGTGGAACATTTCCTGCATTCAGTACGAGAGGTTGTCGGTATGAATCCCACTTGGATACATGTTTTCGTCTTCTTTTTTTTGTCCTGTGATTCAATCCAATCAATCTGAGTCATCACTGATCCACCTGCAAATGATGACGCTCATACCACTAGGTTTCCGAGGATTCCTACTCTGGAATGATATTGTCAGATTACAGCCAGTTAGCATCAATTTCTCAGCACAGTCGTCCAGTACATGAAATACAGGACTGTCGCTTTTATTACTGCTGAGCATGCTGTGAATTTCTTACCAAACTAGGCAGACAAGTGACCTTGAGTACACTGACACGATCCTTTTGGGGGTGGGGGGGGGGGGGGTGGGGTAGTTTTCCTGAAAATTAGTGTTACCAATGCTGATAACAGTGGTGTCGATTTTGTAGCAGAATAATGACGTACTAAGTGTTATTCGAGAGTCCTAAAGGTGGTTTTTCCAACAACACTTAACCGCGCGGAGAGGGGCAGCATTTCTACCGTGCATACTCACTTGTTTGCGTGTTTTCTTTGTTTCTTACCCAAACCTGTTATTAGCTCACCAAAATGTGAAACACTCACATTCCTCATCGCTTTATCTTTTCCACGTACATGCCCGTCTAAATTATGTTCCCTTAACCCTTTCATTGGACATTGGAGACGATTTTCATTGATGATACATATAGTGTGAATGCAATCGAAAAGGTCATTTTGTTCATGCATATAAAATATAAATTCAACATACGCACAGTTCGCTCCGGCGAGTGATATGCGTCGGGTGTGACGCTTGAGTGCTAAATCCTCCACACTTGCGCTTGCACCAATCTTGGATCCAACAAAACAATACTTGTAGTTGCACATTGTTTCTGTCACAATTCGCTGATTCAGTGCCATCCCAGGCCTGATTGAAAACAACAATAATGCTAATTTTATACCCTGAACAGTATGAAAATTCCCTGCACACACAGTTTCCACAGCACTTGAGTAGTCCACACATTCGTAGCGTATCTACTTCTCTTGGTTGTGTCCACGTTTTTAAATGCTTATAGCATTTATATTCAGTTCGCAGATAAATTTCTTCTAGGTCAATGCAAAGACTGTGAACTATACGCATGGGAATTCTGTCCTGAAAGTAGAGAATAACATCGACACTTTTCTGGATGGTGATATGGCCGACAAACGAACGCGAACGAGTGTCGCATCTTGGATCGACTCAAGAACTGCAGGAGTGAAAAGTGCCGCATGGTTACCCGCGACTGAGAATGTAGCTCCCAGCACAATGCAGTTCCGTCAGCCTTCAAATACTTCAATGGCGACACAACTGTCATCCGTTTGTCCACCGATTTTCAACCTGGGAGGAGAGCAAAACTCTGGTCAGCCTGGCAGAGAGTCGTCTACCGTTCCGGATGCGTGTGTGCTGCAAAGTGCCAGTACTAACCTTACACAGTCGGTTAATGATGCTATCATCCTTACACCAGAACATACAGTGAAGGAGCAATTTCCAAACTTCCGTAAATCTCTTAGAAGTCTGGAGGAAGGGAAAAGCAAGCTTGATGCTCTCACTCCTATACTGCAACAACCAGCGAAGGGCATTCATCCTGAGTCATATTCTGCTGCTGAGCCCGTGCCGGGAGCGTGTTCATCCGGCTTGTCGCGAGTGAGAGATACTAGTTCTTCCACCAGTTGTTATCCTACACAGCCCACCAAATCTTCTACCACACCTACACTGGAACCGACTTTCGAGCGAATACCAGGAACTATGCACATCACATCACGTACAGACTTTTGGTCTGAACATGCTGTCATCGGAATCGCCTCCCAGTCTAAACCCAGTTCTGAGAACGTACATTACACTTACCTGAGCAACGCTGCTTCTCCGTTAGCCGTTAGTACGTCACAACGGAAACTCCAAGAGGACGTATACCTTGGGCAGAGAACAAGAGATTTCCGACCATTTCCATATTCCTCTCAACCCCATATCAGTAACGTCACTGCAAGTAGTTATACACCATCTGAACACAATAAGGTCGACAAAGTGTCTCCAGACGTTAGCCGCTCCGCAGTATCATCGACACCTCGTTTGGACAATACAGCATCGTTCTCTGGTAATGTCCAAGGTACATCACATTCAAGTATTGGCTTGTTCGCTGGCAACAAAGATATCGTCCCAGTGGATACTCCCTCCCACTACAACGCCGAAGCTCCTTCTCCCAATAAAGAGTCTAGCTTATCGACTGATGATATGGAGAAGTTTTGCCAGTTGGTCGCAAAAACCAGGAACAGCAGAAAGCTCAACCAAGAACAACTCGCATCCATACTCTGCAAATCATATCGTGCACCATTTCCAAAATCAAAAGATTCTGTCTATAAATTTGAGAAAGGCATGTTTAGTGCGCAGCAAATGTTAATATTGTACCCTATATTCAAAGAATGGGTAGAAGGCGAACGCAGCAATGATAGTCCACGACGTACTATAAGTCCGGTAACATTTTCAAGACTTGGCAGGTGTGGCAAGCGGCTTTCACAAGCCCAGTATGGTATTCTAAGGCGTGAGTTTGGTAGAGATCCAAAGCCTTCTGAACAAAAAGAAATTGATTTGGCTTCCAGGTTTGGCGTACAGCAAGGAGTCATACGTCAGTGGTACATCAACTATCGCTCGTCCTATGCGGGTCGCATTCAGATGAGAAGTACATCTAGCACTGAAAAATCTAAGGATGGCCAAAACCAAACTGAAGAAGAGCCCCGAAAAGATGAAGGTAGAGATTTTAGAAGATAAGTGAATGACATATACATGCCCTGTACCCGAAACATTATAAGCAGTAATAGTATTAGTGACTTGAAGTGACTGACTTCTATTCCAAACACCCATTTTGTTGTTTAAACC